AGTATTCAATAAACATACTTACCCAGCTAATGACGTCACACGTTGTGCTGAATCAGCAATTTATATTTTGCACATTTTTGCGTATAACTTCGGAACTAGATCAGATCTAATAGGGCATTAAACGGCCAATCGGCTTATTTTTCATGCTCTTTCAGACGAAGCAATAAGATAGATGAAGCTATTTTTGTTGCCCATACCCTTCAAAGTCATTACAAATTCACATTTCTTTATTTAAAAGTCTTACGCACAGAACGTTCGAGTTTATAGACAACATGTAAACAAGTATTATGTACGGACTTCACAAAAAAATATAATACTTTCATATTAAATTACGGCCAATAAGTATTACGCGCGGACCATATTTAGAAGTCTTACGGACCACTTTTAGAAGTCTTACGGACCACATTTAGAAGTCTTACGGACCACATTTAGAAGTCTTACGGACCATATTTAGAAGTCTTACGGACCACATTTAGAAGTCTTACGGACCGCATTTAGAAGTCTTACGGACCGCATTTAAAAGTCTTATTGACCACATTTAGAAGTCTTACGGACCGCATTTAGAAGTCGTACGGGCAGGCAATATTTATCATTTATGGACCTGGAGCGAGGGGGATTCGGCGAAATGTTACCCGAAGTGATGATATTTCCCGAGGGGCTTTGCCCCGAGGGAAATATCATCACTGAGGGTAATATTTCGCCGAATCCCCCGAGCGGAAGGTCTATAAATGATATATTATACCGAAAATTAAAAGCCTCCAAGTTGAGAATTAAAAACTTGACACATACCTTCGTGAATACGATTTTTTATTTTCGGATTAACGCAAGTGTCGTCGCTTTTCTTTCAAAGCACATATCGTTTGGAATATTAATGACAAAGCCCCAGGTTTTAGGTTTGAAAAAGCCCCGGGTTTTAGGTTTAAAATTGAATTATTCATCACTCATTAAAGTGCCCCTGACACAAAAATTGTTTTTTAGTCTATTGAAAGTACTCATTTAGTATAGTGTTCTAGCGAAAGAATTTTTCGATTTCATCAAAACGAAAAAATTTTAGAGCCGTTTGAACACGCAAAATTTGGGCTTTTGGTTGGCAGGCGTCCGTGTTCGAAGGAAACTGGAACGAGCGATTTTTGTTACGTCACGCAAGTGAGTCGGCGTATATTCTATTATTCTACTATACTAGTACTATCAGCTCTCGGCGGTATATAGGTAGATTTGTGATCGAAAAAGATATGCCTTTTTACTGTGTTGCAGCTAATTGTACCAATAAAGCATGCTTAAAAGATGGAATAAGTCTACAACACAATATTCCATACTTCAATGACGAACACGCGGAAGCTAAAAGACGAAGAAAAGTATGGGTTGATTTTGTACGCGCAAAGCGTTTGTTTGTGCCGTCAAAGACTTCGACTATATGCTCGGATCATTGTAGAACAGCGGATTACGAGAGGCAATTTTGTCGTTGCCGGGGCTCGGCAAGCCTAACTATCTGAAGCTAATAAAGACTGACGATGATTTGCTTTGTTTTGATGATTCAATTTGCAATTGTATTTCGGTTTTGCGGCCAGCTAAAAATATAAATATTTTGTAATACCGAAATAAAAGATGCAAATCTGAAGACACAAGCTTAAAAATAACACTCTAAATAGTGTTTTGGATTCCGGTTCAAATAAGGCTATTACGAAAAAGATATGTCAAAAGGGGCCGAAGTTATGGTCGGCTAAATGTATGGCTACTTTACATCGTTCGAGACTAATTGAGTAATATAATGAATTATGACACCGCTTGACCTCTCAAAGGCAGACCAAAGGTCATAAATAGCTATTCGATTATAATTTGAGTAAAACTATATTTGAGTATTTGACTAAAACTATCATTAGAAATAAGGAGATTTTGTTTCTCTGAATCGAATGGTAGTAATTTTGTCTTCATAGCATGCACCGAACCGGAGATATGAACCTTGCAAAGTCATAGAATGTCTACGTTTAATAGTATAGGAAGCTTATTAAAGATGCGCCAAATCTGAGACATGGCGCGACTAAAAAACAATCGCTAACATAAATGGGAGACTAGTTTTACTTTGTGTTTCTCGTGTCCATGACCTTGTTTACCAACAACAGTTTTTATCCGTGAAGTGAAACTGTGATAATAGCGGCAGTTTTTCGTCACGTCCGCGTCGCAGATTTGGTAATATTAATGATACCACTAGAGACCTGACGAGATGCAGCTACAGATCAGCATCTTTCAATACAACATATTAACCAGGTATAAAATTCGCTCCGGAATCATCGGACTGATTCTGTTGATATGATACTTTATAGAACTTAGAATATAAAAAGTTAAACACTTCAGCGATCAAAACCTTCGAGCTTGAAACATTATTAAAACAGATAACTTAACAGGCATCAAGATTCGACTCACTTGCATGACGTCAGAATAAATGCTAGTGCCAGACTTCTGTCGCCGACGGGCATTAGCCAAAAATATTTGGATTCAAATGGCTCTAAAAATTTTTCGTTTTGATGAAATCGAAAAATTCTTTCGCTAGAACACTATTTTTTTTGTGTCAGGGGCACTTTAATACTATTTATGTTTTGTCGGCCATCTTGTTGTCATGCGTGTTGTCCCGCGTGGTGTACGCGAATACCCGGGGAACATGGGGTGGAACATTGTCAAAAGGAACGCAGGCTCGCTAATTGATGACGTAAGGCGTGATATCGCGATTAATTTCATGCTCACGTGGCACAAACTAAGCTTCCTGATTGGACAATTTGAATTTGAGGTATAATATTTATATAAGTCTTACGGGCCACATTTAGAAGTCATACGGGCAGGCAATATTTATTATATCAGTGTCTTACGGGCCACATTTAGAAGTCATAAGGGCGAGGTTTAACGTTTCCGGGCGATGTTTTTAGGTATATTACGGGGATATTTCTAAGTATTGCGCACAGTTAGTACAGTAGCCGGTTTACACGCGAAGCATGATGTTTTATACGCGTGTATTCAAGCCTTGCAAGAATGCAGATAAGATGTACGCGCGAGAGAAGTTTTACGTATATAATCCTAAAGTAATTTTGTCCAGTATAGCGTTCCATACTCATTTGTTAACAAAATTTAAGATTTCAAACTCTGCACATAACATATTTATCTACATTTGCGATAAGTCGGCAAGATGGATATCATGAAAGATTGGTACTGAATTAACAACACCATGCATGCCTACGCTCATAAAATCTTCGATGTACTATCTGATCATTTAACTGCATGATATATTTAGTCTACCAAATACATATTTTACAATTCTGCTAATATCATGAATGCATGATTGGATGTCCGATCGCAACACTGTGGTTATAAGCACCTGAATTGCAATTTGGTCCTGCTATTTCGAATTAAAGTAACGAACAAGCTATATTTCTGAGAGTAATGTTACGTAACTCAAGAAAGTTCCACCAATCATAATTGAAATAAAATAGGAGTGATATATGTTGTGCAAAACGCCTTAATGAACACATTTACATTAAAAATAAATAAATAAATAAATAAATAAATAAAATGTGCCTTGATGGTGAGCTTTGTTTGTCGTGTTACCAACCCTCCAATTAAGAACTTGTAATATAGAAGCTTTGTGGGGAAGCTGCTGGTTGTCTTGGCCCCATCCAGGTTTCCTGTATATTCCATCACTCATACTATATTGCTATAGTATGAGTGATGGTAACGCTCAAATAATTGTCAAACTTTCATCTGGCAGCAGCTGTCTTGCAACTCTATCTGGGGTATCAGCCACTTTGACAGATGTGCTAACCGCTAAAGAACTATCAATGTTTCGGGGGGAGGGTTCGTCTATGGGGAATACACATTCTGTGTATTTGTGGGGATGAAGTCTCCATAAAATGTCAACTTCAGGCCCATGGACTCAATATATGTCACACATAATATATCTAAATCTAAGGACTGTCCATGGGGGTTTACCCCCCATGTTCAGGTTAAGGACTGGCCATATGGGTTTAGTGCCTTTGGTCAGGTTAAGGACTGTCCATAGGGGTTTTGTGCTCCGATTGGTCAGGGTAAGGACTGTCCATACTGGGGTTTCGTGCTCCAGTTGGTCAGGTTAGGACTGTCCAAGTGAATCTTGGTCAGATTATCAGCAGCCAGTTCAAATCACAGGGCATAACACAGCCCATCCTAATTGGCACATAACATGCACGAGTTTATGCAAAATAACGTAATTTACTCTGAGATGTCGACAGAGTAACATTATCGAAAGATTTTCCCACCCACCCACCTCTCCTCTGCTTACCTTCACTGGGT